GGCATGACAGCAAAGTTTATGCAGGAATGATGACTGCATTTAATAATAGGAGAATGAAAAGCTATATGAGCACCTTATTATTTTGCTGTCAAAGGTTTTATAAATAAAGTAAACACACATTCCAGGTTTTAAGAGATTCCACGATAATAAAACAATCATGACAGCATTTAGTGAGGAGTAGGTCCTTTATTGGAAAATGCCAAGCTGGATTGTCATAAATATATTAATAAAACAACTATAATCCAATACAATTAAATTATTAATGACGCCCATTGCAGTAACATATGCAAGGTATATTAATTGTCAGTGTAAAGTGTAAAATTCATTAGTATCCAAGCAAATCAATGAAAATATTAGCACAGGCAATTTATAAGCTCAAATTGTTTGAACAGTGACTCAAAGTGCTTAGAAAAGCAAGAATATGTCTCTTAGACAACAAAAGCAGAGACCATTTATTGCTTTGCATGAGGAGTTTTATACATGTCTTGTTGAATTATTTCATACAGAACACTTATAAAGCTGTCGTCATGGTGAAATACATACACTGATAAGTTATGTTAAAGTCATCTGATGATATTAAGATATATGGATCTCTTACATGTATACATGTCATGTTCCTTTCTCTTCATCCTCCACTAATACACAAAATACCATCAAAAAAAGCATGTAAATAACAGATGTGATAACATGAATAAATACAACTGAGAGGAAGGAAAAATATAATCATTTATGCAAATCAGAATCAATCGATTTTAAGTGAAAAATGCAGAATTGAGGAAGAAGAGGAAAAACAAAAACAAGTGTCAAGAAGTGTTGAAAAATAATGGTCTTACAGGGAACTAATTACACCCAAAATAATGGTCTTACAGGGAACTAATTACACCCAAAATAATGGTCTTACAGGGAACTAATTACACCCAAAATAATGGTCTTACAGGGAACTAATTACACCCAAAATAATGGTCTTACAGGGAACTAATTACACCCAAAATAATGGTCTTACAGGGAACTAATTACACCCAAAATAATGGTCTTACAGGGAACTAATTACACCCAAAATAATGGTCTTACACGGAACTAATTACACCCAAAATCAACGTAACATAATTGTTCTTTAGAAGCACATACACTTACTTAAATCACAGAGCTATTTTTATGGTCAATAAATAATATTTAACAGAATAAAAGGAATGCGATTTCTATTGAAGATTCATTTCAATTATAGCAAATATGGCGTTATTTGTACATAGCAAGTTAGAATTAACTGAATCACTTAAGCAATCCTGCAAAGTAGCGAAAAACATTCTCATAAATTTAAGATTCAGAAAAGTTATGCTTCAGTAGTACAGTATAATTTATTCCTTGTGGCAGTGAGACACTATCATCATGACCAGTTATGTTTTATTTTTCTTTACAAAAAGAAACCGATTCATTCTACGGAAAGGAGTAATTTACTGATAATACATAATGCAGAGAATATAGTGTTAGTGTCTACTACAGTTAGTAATATACAGTTATCAGGTGAAGACGCCAATTATTCAGCATTATTAGACTATTAAAAGGACAAATACAAGTGTAGAAGTGTAGAAATAGAATATTTTGTTGGTGAATACTAGATTTAATATTTGTATCTCTAAATTATACAGAGATGATGATAACACACTGAGAGTTACAATGAAGAGTTTCTGTGAAGAGTCTTGGTAACACTCTTAGGTTACCGAGTGCAGGGTAAATTAGAATACACAAATCAAGAAATTCACATGATTGATTACTTCACTAATTATCGTAACACAAAATGAAGCTGACATTATTTAATTAACCAAAGTAATTATTTCAACAAGGGGTCAAAACAATGTTCATATCAATGGCATCTATCGAGCATTTTATAAAGAGTATTACATCTTATATTATTTATGTACTGATATATCTTGTGGTGTATTGAATTATAGCAAAGGTAATCTAAAATACTGACAGCATCATGGCTAATACAGTCCTATGAATATCACACAATTGTACAGTCATTTTTGATAACTAACTTGAACATTCATGGTTGCAGTCATCAAAATATTTTCATGCTGAAGTGAAAGGTCAATGACACCTGTTACTCATTGCATTGCTAACATACCACTTGGAGTGGGTTTTGGAGGGGTCATCAAAACTGGTCAAAATGAAACATGAATTAATGCATTTTACTGATGTGTATATGCAAAATGTGCCACTGAGGGCGCTATAATAATAATCTGATAGTGATAACAAACAACTTTTGATACGGAGAAAAAAGAATGAGGTGCAATGCACTTTAAGTGAACAGTGTCAGGATACTACATTTCATGTGAACTATGTATACATATAAAGTTTTGGAGATTTTCAGAGTCAGATTGAATACAATCCCTGGAAAGAAATTGATAGTGATAGTGTGCATAGCAACACATGCACACTATATTTGTTCTGGTAATAAAGAAATTGTAATTACAAAGTCACTTTGAGTCAAATATATCTATAAACAATATAATACATGACAACAAAATTGAATGACATACAACATGTAAAGCACCATATAACGTTCAATATTCTACCACATAAATGTTTTCATTTTCATCAACTTTCTTGGACACCAAGTTTTCTGACTGCTTGTCTAATTGATTCTAGGGGATTCTTTACACTAAGAATAAAACCTTTGGATAATGGAAATAATGGGAATCCTGTCTCCGGATACTCTCCAGACTGGTTACCAGTGAGCCAGGACTCAACACGATGTACCAAGCTGTAATAAACAGAAATCCTCATCAGTTATACAACTGTAAAGACTTCAATTTTCAAGTGAAACAAGAATATTATAATTATAATTACCCAATTTTAATTATGAATAAAAAAAAATTTAAAATAAAAAAGTAGGAGAACATCTTGTCCATGCTCAAATTTAGATATAAAATATCGCATACAATTCATTTAGTTTGGGAACCACCATTCCTCTCTCTGGTGCACAAAGAGGGCGCCATTACATATGAAGTACAAAAGAACACCTTACCTCATTCCATGTCTTTTACAATGCACTATGACTTCATCTTTAAATATTTCTGGCAGATTAGATACCATACTAGCCATAGACTACAAAATACACAGATATAATAACAGTAATAATTAATCTAATTAATCTATCCACCCTCAACAAAGATTTCATAATTGCTCTTAGAGTTGAATACATAAGGCTGGATAAGTGTTCAGCTTGGGGAGTAGTATTTTATAGTTATCTGAACAGAAAGTCAGAAGACAGATTAGAGAGGTGTGAATTGCAGATGAAAGTTCTGGAAAGTCATGTATTGTTTGCTAAGTGCATAAAGGCTTTGATATTTCAAGTATAACAACCAACATTGCAACAACTAATGCTAAATGTCTCAATCTGTGCATATTAAATGCTGTGTTCATCTACATACATATGTAAATTAGTCAACAGTGATACAGTGTTATTCACATTCTTTAAGTCTATTTATAATACTAGAAGGTTTATCAATTTGAATATCAATGTATCAGTGATGGTTTACTAATTTGCATATAGACAATAGGTGTTACAGTAATAAATAAATACTTGAAACAAAGTGATCATGAGTAATATAAATATATATTAAAAAAAACGTTGGTAAGTCACATACAGTAGAGCTACAGGTTTGAGACAACTACCGTACTCGACCGCGTTAGCGCCCAGGGGCCTCAACTCAGAAATTCACGATTTTTTAGGGGTGGGCGCTTACCCGAGCACCCCCCTCGAAAAAGAGTGCAAATGAAAAATTTGATTCATCAAGTAACAGATTACGTCTTTGAGGGAAATCAAATTACGAAAATTAGTTGAGTGTCATTGATTTTCACAATGAAGAAACAGAAATGATCACAAAAAATATGCACATTTTATTACAATATTAATTACGTACCACCAGAATTTACGAAATTAAAAACATTTGAGTCTGTTGG